CTTCTATCGAGCTCCTCCATCGGTGGCTGATAGCGATGTAATCTAATTGGGTCCAACGTTGGGACGAATTCGGGGGTCGCCATGTCAACAGATGTTTTTCCTTATGCTTAAAATTAGTATTTGCAAGAAATAGGCGGTTATCTGAGCACAGCTGCAACGGACGGTCGCCATTATCTGTCCTTTTAGCCACGACACCATAAGATCCAGCCAGGTGTCTTTCCCTTTCACTTAGTTTACCTACTTGAGCATTAAAGTCACCTGCCACTATTACTACATCAGAACGCCTAGCTTTTCAGAGAAGGTCAGAAAGTTTCCTGTAAAACTCATCTTTTATATCGTCTGAGCTGCAGTCAGTGGGAGAGTAGGCAAAGACGACGAAGAGGCAACGACGAGCTTCCCTATCTTTCCAAGTCCTTACTGATCCGTTTAGTCGGACAGCGCATAGACGACTGTCTACTGGGATCTAGTCTAAAAGAGCTAGTTCTACCCTAGGACTTAATGCTATACCTACTCCAGCGAGGCCACGGGAAGCAGCATCAAGGCTTCCAGATACACGAAGCGTGTATCGAGATGAAACTTTATTTTGATTAGGTGCGGTCAAATGAATGACACTACTCGGATCTTGTATGCGCGTTTCGGAGACGCAGCACACATCGATGGTGTAAGGTTCTACAGTCCTAGCTAAGGAAGCCTGTTGTCCTATTTGGCCCAATGTTCGGACATTAAAAGTTCCTATATGTATTTTAGAGCGTGGTTTCAGGAGACCAGGAATAACGTTCTGTGTACTTGAATCGTTTGCCCTAGCGGTGCGAGGTGATAAAAGGACGTGGGAAGGGTTAGTCGTGGAGATAAGAGAGTTATTAGGAGTAGGAATGATTTGAAAGTGACCAACTTGGTCTTGTGTGCTGTTACGGGTATGAGGGCTAATATCACTTCCCGGCTGCCCACACCGTGGAAGGATATTTCTTGAGGGACCTGAAAAAGAAGTTGGATTAGTGTTGGTCTTAACGACCTGAGAGCGTGACTGCAGTGCCCAAAGGACAACTGCTTGAGGCCGGTCACGCACGGCCTTTTTGTGGGGGATTTTTGACGTGTTAGCTCCGTTCTTCAAAGGACCTTACCGCCGGAAACGGAAATCCGTGGGATTAGGCGAGGTGTGCATTTTTAGGGTCGACCTTTCCTAACCCCACCCCTTCTTTTTGGAAGGCAGCATCGCTGTCATGCTGGTTGTCTGAAGGAAACACCTTACTGCCGTCACACCTGTGTACAGTCGGCAGTACGACTTCGCCTTCGGACCTTGGGATTGCTGCTTTTAGTCTTACCGCTCTTCAACCGACCTGTCTGGAATGGTAGGATCTCGAGGAACGATTGTTCCAGCTAGCATAACTCGATTGCTTCATCACGATAGGCAAGCCCAACCACCACGTCAAGGTAGCAGCAACGGTCGGGATTTGTATTGAGTTCCACAGTAATCATGATTGATCTTTCTTAGTTGGTAAGTACTAATACAGTCCCTAACTTACCCTTAAAATACTAAGTGTTCGATAATTCTTAAGAAAATTTGTATTTGTATTTTTTTCCTTTACATAAGGAATGCAGAAGTCACATTAATGGTAGTAATGTTCATAACGAAAGAATTAGAAATTTTCAGCATCTAGATGGATAGCTAGTGGAAATTGTCAACCGGACCAATAACAATTAGTATTATTCATACATTTTTCGATTAGTCTTTACAATATTGGTGAAGATGAATGAAAGTTCCTAAATTGATATGAATTTGCTTGATGATTATGAGACTGGCATAAATGTATAGTAAGAATCGAAAAGAGCATGATTACGTGAAAAAAATAACCCAGGACTGATCCTACAAACACCACAAACCTATGTTGATTACGATTACAGTTGAAAACGTAACTTTTGTTATGTTACTAATCAAAACAGTAAAATTTGCCCTAATTTCAATATTTATACCAATTCTTTTGTTGTTCGAATGCTGTTAGTTATAATAGTAGCATCAAGACCATCTCGAAATACATCTTTCTATGTTTATTTATACACCGTATTGTTTATTATATCGATGACGAAAGCTAGTGGTATCGATTTCAGAGCTTATTTCAATAAAAAGAAGTGTGAAATATGGTTAATAATAGCAGCAACTAACAGTGCTCAATATCACAGCGAAAAATTTTGAGTAGTTTTGTATATCGTTATGATAAAACGATGACATTATATGGAAAACACTAAAGACCAAGGAACATTAAAACCAATAGAGTTTAGGTGCTTGTGCATGAAACAAAAGGTCTTGGGTTTTAGTCGGTCAAGCGGAATCGTGGATGCGCACTACTGAGAAGTCTTATACTACGACGAAGCGGCCGTCCAATGCTTCCAGGTTTTCAATGATGGTTCAGTTTAGATTGACTCATGATTTCAATAGTGAAAATCAATGAAACACTTAAAATAAAAAACTACAAGTCTTACAGTTATCAGGATGTCATCCAGTTCCTAAGTCGAAATCCAATGGTTCACATATTTTCACTTCAATCAACTTTATACAATCCTTCTTCCATCCTACATTATCGGCACACATTCGCCTACCTCCCAACAGGTCACCAGCTTTTCATTAGGATAGCAAGACATACAGCTCGAAATATATCATCAGAAGCCATTAGACTGTTATCTTTAAATTGAATATATTCTGAGATTTACGTATTTTTAATAGGTTAAAACCATTTGATGTCCAATAGTTATGACCAGTTTAATTAAACCCTTAGCCTCATCAGATTGATAGAAATATATATTACCCAATTCACACAAGAGAATCATATTTCACTCGTAGAATAATCGACTTTGACTGAAGTCAGTATCATAAAAATGAGTAAATCACTATTGAACATAAACTATTAAGCTTATTTACCGCAAATGAATAGCCATGGGAATAAACTATCATAACTTCCAATAATTGTTATTTTTAGTACTGTGAGAGAATGCAAACTATTTCAAGCTTTTCTTCGCATAAAAGATAGAAATTGATCTATATATTTTATAATTAATTTAAATATATGTAAAAGGATATCATTAATACCATATAAAATTACATATCACTGTGACGAGGGAAAAAAACAACAAAAGGTCACGATTGCCTATCACGAAAAATACATTTAAGACCACTATTATTTGTAGTAATCAACTTCATATTCCCTAAGGTATTTATATAATCCTGTAAAGTATTCGTTCTACATACCTATCTTATGCTTTATATTTCTTTAAACTATAAAAGTACAATAATTATTATTATTTTGTTGCTTGTTTCATTTCAACTCTACTCTATAATGTTCTAATAGCTAAATTGATCATCATATTTCATAAAATTATCTAAACTCAATATCTAGAAGTCTTAACCATTAAAAGATGGTTTTCAATAACATGTCTTCATTGATTAACTATATGACAGTTGATGACACTTTGCTTACTGTACAATTTATAACTTCATCCAATAAATCAAGAAAGTATTTGGGACTCATCTAAAAATACTATAAAACCCTATCTATACCAATTCCCGAAACCATCATAAGGTATCGCGGATACTGAACGTGAATTCTCTTTTCGACCACTTTAACTATTACACTTTTTTAGTATTTTTTTCAATAGGTTTATTTTTTTATCGAAATATTAACTTTTTCTCTTGAAAATAATTGTCCAACTGTTTACGAACCTCCCAATAGAAACATAGACATATAACTAATTCCATCTCTAATACTTCTTACTTATAACGTTATTCATTGAGCATTTTCAACAAACAGTTATACAACCTTTATGAATGCATCATTTTGATTTATGATAGAATAAAAAGTTAATAAAGCTAAACAGATCATGTTGAGATATACAATTTATATTGATTTATTTTTTCTTAATATTCTAATAAGATTTCACATTCCACATAATTCATAATTTTGGTACAAAATTATCTAAATTACTACATATATACGGAAAAATACAAATCCTGAATGAGTGTACACACAGTTTAGCAATCAAGTACCGGCTTCTAGGACTCATACGGAAGCAGAAAGGTTCGAACTTACAACTTAATCATATGCTCACTAGTGACTGACTTCAAGAGATATTTCCTGGAGTTCTAGTGAGAAGCAGTGACCAGTGGAGTTCAACCACGTCTGTTGGGAGATAACAACTCACTGAAAACAATTAGTGAATGGTTGCTCAACTTTCGTGGATTGGTTGAAGTTAGACATTACATCGGATGCCGGCTCAGTGGTCTACCGGTTAAGTGCTCACGCGCGAGACTGGTAGATCTTGAGTTCGAATATCGCGAGGCGATATCGTGGATGCGCACTGCTGAGGAGTCCCACAATAGGAGAAAAAACGGTCGTCCACTGCTTCCAGGTTTTCCATGGTGGTTTAGCTCCAATTGACTCATGATTTCAACTATGAATATTAAAATTCAATTGTTTTATAAAGTAGTGATGGCACTGTCCAATAACATAAAGCTTGAACACTTGCGTTCATTAATTAAAAAGATTCATTGATTTCAATATGACAGGAAAGTCAGAAACAAACAAAACATTTGCAAATTAATAAAAATAGTAACTATTTTATTGTAAGTAAAAAATCTTAACGACTATCAATTTGTTTCTTTTTTTAAAACAAAAAGGAACAAACATAAAGTCCCTCTGTTCTGTAATCAACAAAATATAAGTGCTTATTTAATTGAACGCTATATATATACCTTTTCCCCGGCAAAAAATGCAATAAACAAGAAAAAAGTTAATTTATTTAATTTTCTTCGAATGATTAATAGATTAAGAAAAAAACAGTTTTAGAACTAGAATACGTCAAATGTGTACAATTAATTTTTCTTTTCATAAGAAACCAATAAAAACAATAGAAGGGGATATATAACTTCACTCAAAAATTCAATTTCAAATGATTTACGGAAAGAAAGAAGGGAAAAGAGACCAAGAAAAATTTTAAAAATCAAGCACTTTTTAAATAGAATCAATAATGGATTTATGATCAACTAAAGGTTGGAAACATGCCTGGTGTTCTAATTTAGCAACAAGTGACAATAGTTGACACTCTGAAAAGTATGGTCCAATTAATTGTAAACTAATTGGTAGTCCACGTGTAGGTGATAAACCGACAGGAAATGAAATTGCAGGTAATCCGGACAAATTTACAGCTACTGTACATACATCATCAAGTGTAGTACGTGTTCGATTGTCGAATTTGGAAAATTCATCGATACTAATAGGTAGACTAGGTGATACTGGTGTTAATATAAAGTCAACTGATTCGAAAACCTGAAATAGCAACATCAATAAAAAGTTTAATTACATGTAAAGTTTAATAATGGTAAAAATGATATACTACAACAAAAGTCAACAACGTTTAAGGCGGCCTGTCTGAATATCTGGATTACCTATTTATGTCATCTAGATGTCTCAACACGTTATCTGTTTTTTTTGTTTTAACACATCATGTCTATGAATCGCATAACCTATTCAGGAGCGTTTATGAAAAGTTTACTACTTTTCGCTGTACATGTTACAATGAGGTACAATCAGCGATGTCCTGGTGGTTGGCAATATGAATTAAAGAGAATAAACATCATTCAGATGTTGATTCCTAAACAGTTTACATCCGATTGGCGACCACTCAATATCTATCGCCAGGATCGATCAAGAAGTAGGGAAAGAAAACTCGTTGAAATACTTTGTGCTGAAAGTTCTATATCGTACCAAAAATATCATATTACATGAAACCATTAATAATAATAAAATCATGTTTATGATAACACGCTAAATATATAATTAATGTGACACTATGGGCTAAAACGCATATGGTGCTATGTAGAATTTCCGGTTTTCTTATATCCGTTTTGATCATTTAATGTATGTTCATCTAAATGATCACTCCTTGTGAATATAAAGCTAATTTTTACTCATTGACATCATTTACCACTTATCAGTAAGATCTTATTATGATAAATCTCTGAAAAATAAGTAATCTAAGGGGAGTTACTTAGAACTGAAGGATTTTGTTGGTAAAGCAAAGAATTTCAAACCTTACTAATAAGTGGAAATCAAATACTGATGACAGGTTTATACGAAAAGTTGAACTTTTCATTTAGATCTATTCCAGAGGAACATATTTGAATATCTTGAATATAGCAAGGAGAGATACAAGTAATAAATCACCTATTAGTAATTATTACAAAATAATCAATAGGATTTAACTAGCCATTACAAGTAATCAAAACTGATTAATGAAGTACATTTGTCAGCACAAAAATCTAGACATTACCTTCATGAAATCTTCCTTGATCAAACGCCATAAACGTCGCGCCGCAGCTAAATGTCGACACTGTTGATCTTGAAGAAGAAAGAAATTACCAGCGAAAATTCTGCCTTGAACAACATCACCGAAACCTAATGAACGAGTAGCAGAGTATTGTGTCACTGAGTTTTTCAGTAATGAATCTTCATGATGGTTGGATAACTTCGTTATGGAAAATCCATACTTTAACCCATCGTATCTGAACAGAAATTAATTAGATCATTGAAAAGCAGAATAAATTCGTAGCAAGTCAATATTTGCTTATTTATGAAGGAAAAATTTAATACTCTCAACCGTGACCGACGAAAAAATATTTATAGCAGTGAAACTAATTCTGTTCAGGAAATTCTTAGTAACACCCAGGTTATGAACATTCTCAGTTCACAATATTAATAATTTATAACAGTAAGAAGTTGATAACCCATAAAAAAGAATATTTTTGGAATCAAGTGTAAATTGAAATTACCTAGCCATGTTTGATGCTACTTCTGTTGCACACAAAACTGAATACACAGTTGTGGCCATAGGTGTATGAGGTAACCTGACTAACTGTACAGAACAGGATAAGTGATCAGCTAACCAGCCGGCAACAGTGTCCCACATGGAACATATCTCCTCTTGAAGACCAGGAACATGATACTCTAACGGGATACCTATGCGTAGCGGAGTGTCCTTGGAAGTAGAATCTAAATCACTTTTGGCAAGATCTTGCAATTCATTGTACATACGAGTCAGAAAAGAGTGTGGAAGTTGGGAACATGTGGCATCACCTGTTCGTGCGAAGTTATTTTTGGGAGATAACCAACTTGCTAAAACACAAGCCACATCACTGACAGATGGTGCAATGATGGCAGGCACGTCTAAAGTGTTTACTAATGGGATAAGACCATGGCGAGAGACTAACGTATATGTTGGCTTTAAACCAACAACTCCACAATAAGCAGCAGGTAATCGTGTTGAACCACCAGTATCTGAAGCTATGCTAGCCAAGCAAAGACCAGCAGCAACTGCAGCAGCACTACCTCCAGAACTACCTCCCGAAATAAGACGAGTTTTGCCAGCTGCTTTTTCAGACCATGGATTAACAACAGGACCAGCAACTGCACTATCTGTAGATCCACAACCCATTGCGAATTCATCCATATTTGACTTCCCCATAATAAAAGCTCCTGAATGAAGAAGAGATGACACAACCTGGAGCAGTCATTTAAAAGAGACAAAGAAGCAAAACAAAATATTCCAGCAATTAGCTATTTAAAATGTTTAAATAAGCAGAACTACAATTTGAAATACAAAATGACATTTGAGTATGGTGACTGAATAACATCTAAGCTCTATATTGATTCGTATGTACAGATTAGCATTTTAATGCTCCTGGTTATTAACTTTAAATTTGTAAATTCAGTATAAATTAACCGGGAAAACAGTTAACAGGATGCAAACTATATAGTACAATAATACCACTTAGTTATTGATAATTACTAGTACGAATAGGTTGTTGTTACTTAAAAGTAACGTATTCAAAACTATCCCGAAAAAAAGCGGAGAATTCGAAAAGTAACCACTTAATTAGCATAAACACCAATCACTTTGACGATAGATACAAAACACAATATCGGGGACTTCGATACTGAACTTGCTGTGCTGAACAGTTTGATGAAAACTAAAGATCAGCGTAAGTAGTGTACAACTATTTACATTCTTATATCTAATGGGATTTGAAATAATATTAGTTACAGTTTTCAAGAGAAAACTGTATGTCAAGAAAAAGTTAGTTATACATGAAATGTACGTGCTTTTATTCACACAAAAGTTCATGAATATATATGTTAAATTCAAACGAGTTAAAACTTTGAAATCATAAAAATATCACGAAGTTTCTAAGCGATCACATGGTAATAACATGTTCTGTATCACTTGTGGATACAACTTACATAGCTGAGAAAAGCCTGTAGTGATAAAATGTATACGTTAAGTGACCTACATTAAAAAATTACGCTTTTATAGTTAGGTTTGAATACCACAGTAATGTATACCATTTCTGTGGAAAAAAACTTTAACGTTTAGTGGAGGGATATTATAGTACCTGAACATAAATTGTTTATTTCTATTAGAAGAATTGTAAAAATATATCTACTTCAACTTTCTGAAAACACTATCCTACATATTGATACCTTAATGGAATAAAAACGGGTATATATTTTGATAAAATTGATTTGACAGAAACGTCTAGTCCACTAATAATGTTTTTGTTATCTGTTCACGATTTATCGTTTTATTTGAATCCAACATTCAACAACAGCGTCAATCAAAAACCTGGCGGCAGTGGAAAAAGTTTCAACACCTAGAAATGAACACATTAATTTAAATATAGGAAAATACCGAATTTGGTCTGTCCAATTTGTAAACAAATACAAGAATGAACTAATGATTTTCAACTTTAAGCATTTTTAGCATTCATTTAACTTACAGCAGCATCATATGGTGAACAAAAGTTTTCCAGTGATTTAGAAGCACATGTTGTTTTTAGTGGTAGTCTACGATAATCGACACAAAAATTATCTTTTACAACCACTGGTATGGAAGTCATCAAATCGGGAGTATCTGGATTTGTAAGTGAACTCTTTGGCATAATCTCAGATAAGCTACTCAGTATTGAATTGGTAGGAGGAAGACCAAGTTTAGACACAGATAAATCATTTTTAACACCTTGTATATCGGCTTGGATACGATTAATAAATACGCGCCAAACATCCTCAGGATTAATACGTTTAGAAAGCAGTGAAGTATGAAGATGGTATATACAGCCACGTGACATTGAAACCTCGGTATAAAAACTGGAAATATATATGGCAACTCGAAAATATTAATACATTCAATAAGTTTATGGGTTAGTAAACGATGAATCAGACTAACACTTCACACAAAAGCATAAACAAAATAACCGTTATATGAGTGTTTCTACTATGTAAACCTTGTTTTTGGACAGTTGGAGACTCCGTTTATTATCTTTATGTATAAAGTGAACTTCGATCTAATAAATTACTAACTAGATAGTTTCGAAATCAAGAGCCCTGTATCATTATTTTTTTTGTCTGAATTAGTGTGACCGGAAAACTTAAGCGACTGAGTTTTTAATATGTGTTAGAATAGTAATCATAAATACTTTCCTTTTGCCCACAAAATAACTATTCAGTTCACCTAAGTAACTGTGAATTCACAGCTTACTTGTGAACAAACTAGCTTTATGTTTAGTGAAAATTTACACCATCCTTAAAATAGGAATCATTAGAACTCTATGAAACTTCCTTACAAAACCACGAGGCCGCTATTAAAATGCCTGCAAAAATAGCCAAGTACTTTGAAAGCACCAACATTCCACATTACTCAACAACCACGGCAACTCATTTACTAACTGTAAGTTTATACATTCGACTTTGAGTAAAATGATCTGGTACGGCCGAGGGTAGGGAAAGTCAGCTCTCCCTCTCGAAATGCTCTCACATGACCACGTGCATGCAACCACCGCCAGGGAAGTCCTACTAACTGCCTTCTCGAGGCGTGCTGGTTGTTTACAAAATTGAGAGGACAAAAAATGAATATCCGGCGCTTTACCCGGGTTGGTGGATATTGAAGATCCACCAAGGGGAATTGGAAAAACCTGGTTCCAAACCAATGGTGCACATGGGCTCCAGGATTTTGAGGGAACAAATGGCGTATGAACCAACTATTGGTCACCTGCTAACATGGAACTGAATCTCCTCACGATGCTCCACTGCCTTGTGGATCAGACCTTTAGGTCGAAGGTTCCGGACGTGGTCCCCAAGAAAACCACCTGCTTTGGTCTGAACACCCGGGCAGTAGGACAGCTCACACACAAATCCAGTGACCTGTGTGGCGCTAATTAGCACCAATACTTGTGTTCAAATAGATAAATAATATTGAGTAAATTTTGATTGTGTGTAGGCTGATAATTTTAAGCGGGTAGTAGTGTTCAAATCTATAACTTATCGATTGAAAGATAAGTACTTCAACCACCATTTTACTACTTACATATGCCAATCTATACACAGCAGGATGTGAAGAGCTCAAGCGTTATACATATTCATTCAAATGAAATCAAGATTTTACGATAACAAATGACTCTTTATTATGTTTAAATATGTTGCCTGATCTCAGAATTACCCAAATAATGTAACCGGTGGACATGCCCAATCATTGGCAGGAAACTAATTCATCCTAGGGGAGTCAAGTTTCTCAAATGTAGGACAGAACACCTTGGACACAATTTATAAGTATAGTGAATGGATATCAATTACAGATAACGTAGATTTGGAATATTTGAGAGTTAACTAGTAGCTAACTTATAAAAACAGCGCTGATTTACACACGCATTATGTGAGACGCCTGAAGATGAGTATGACAATGATTTCACCATACAATGGTTGGACATTCTTGTGAAATTTCTCACATAACATACGTTAGTTACAATCAACAAAGTCTGCTACAAATGTATGTCAGTTCAAGTTGTCACGTTAAATTAGCACGACAAGAGAAAATTAAAAACATGAATTGTTGAAGATCTGAAAGAACAGTTTTAATGACTAAACGCTAAGAAATGCTGTTGGAAAAGAGGTGAAATTGATGAATAGTAAGTATGAACTAATATCGGAGCTCAAGACTCAGAGGAAGGTAAGTAGTGATTAGACCTGTACCACTGACCGATTCTGAGCCAAGTTACGAAGTTTCTAACCACCGATCACAATTGCTGCATCAGGCCCGAAAAAATAGTTTGGAATTACCAATACAGCTGCAGCAGTCGATGATTTCATCACACGATTCCATGTCTTGGCCCACCAAGTTCTCTTACAACATAGGAAGTCGAAGTAGATAATAGTTAGCTACGTGCAACATAAGATTAACAATCTATTTTTCGTTTTTGCCTAGCACCTTATACTTAACCTCAGCATCACACACTTTAATCACGGGGTGCATTGGGAATACTTTGGAGACAGCTATGATCAGAATTGTAGTCCATCACTATATTCTCTTCATAGAGCATATTCACAGCCATATGGTAATGCAAAATGGAGTGCTGAACAGTATACTCGCCCCTTTAATAGGTTGAAGGGAACCTTACCCGCGCCACAATTAATAAGCTTTTTGTAATAATTATGTTTTGGAAACGTCCTATTCTCTGAAATGGATGGTTAAGTCCTCGAGCTATCGTTGCTTACTCTTTTCAGAAGTATGTACCCAAAATATTATTCAAAAACAAACAGCGAAAGCTTCACGATTAAACAATCCTGTCCAACGAACAAAATTTCGAAATCTTCCTCCTGCGCTGTCAAAAGTCTATTATCTCAAATGCGATGGAACTGCCCCTTTTAGATTGCCATGGTTTGTGTGAAAGATAACGCTAGCTAGAAGCTACAATGAGACAAGAAACTGCCACTCAGCCTCTACCTTAAAGTTTAATCCGTATAGAGATGAAGTAGGATGAGAAGTATTCTCTTAATGATTAAAGTTAATATGCTATTAATTACTTTGAGACCATGAAGTCCATATCAATAAGTGATTTAAAACTTGTTTCCAAGCACAAAGGTGAGAGATTCTACTTCTACTAAAGAACAACTGTGACAGGAACAAGAAAAAAGTAAGGGTAACTAAGTGTAAATGTTGTGAATGCTCAGAAGTATGGTATGCTACTACAATGAAAAATGTACATCAGTGAGCTAAAAAGATAACTACGCTTTTCTGTATATATCTGCATCTTTTGTAACACTGAAATTTGCATTTAATATAAAGGTCCAATTAGATTGTCAAATGTTCATGATAAATAAGACCTAAAACTAGGAATTGACACCAAGAATTTTTGAAAACACAATTAACTAAAGTCAAGTGGCTTGACAAGACCACAGGCAAGCATCCCTTGACTAAACATATTGCATAATTGCTAAGGAGATTAACTATTCAACAGACGAGATGAGCTTAAACCTGTTAAAAATGATCAAAGGTTAAATATTGAATTATGTTTCTACGAAAACTTGTTGATTTGATCAAGCGAAATCAAGTAGAAGTTTATTGGTCAGTCGGTTTCAAGCAGAACTCGAATGACCACATTAAATTTTAATCCCGAAAGTATTAATCTTAAAACAACGAGATTTTCACTGAAGTCATTAGGACTATATTTCTAGTGAACCATGTGTAGTTCAATGACAGAAAAATCGACATAATTAAGTGAAAGTGATTACACCGCAGTTTGTATTATAATCATAAATAAAAATACGCAGACAGACACAGTTTTTATTACAGTGAATCGAGAATACAGTTAAGAAGAAACAAATATTTATTTTTGGCAACAAAATTAGTCTAAATCATCATCGTCGAAAGGGTCATAGCCGAAATCTAGAGAAAAATATTTACTGAAGATATGAACTACCTCGACGAAAATCAGCATGGAGGTCTGGAGCTCGTTCACTAGATATTGTGCACGTTATGTCCTGGAAAATTAAAAGGTTTATTAACAACTTACTTCATCCATCATCCCTTGAGATGCGTAATCTAAACCCTCATCAACTGGCTGCATCCTTCAGAAGCTCGTAGAACAAAGTATAATCAACTGCGTGGTTGAAATAAATATAATCTTTTGAAAAATCTTGAAATATGATACACTAAAAGTAATAATAATAAATCTGAAACAATACCATACACTAAACATGAGATGATCTTTAGTTATCCTATCCAGCGGTTCAGACGAAGCAAGAGGAGCAAGATCAAGCTGCTAGCTTATCTGTTGTGAGGAGACTGTGTTAACGATCAGCTACATATCCACATCAAGTGAGTGGATTTGTGTCATGTCTTGCTTGACGATTTTGCAAGTTTCGTTTAATTAAATCTCACACAACCACCATATGAAAATGACATCATAGATTTATGGTACTGATTAGGGGACGTTCTGGCTACAATGCGAGATGTTTTCTGTGCGAAGGATAGGGATAGTAAAATGTTACTAGAACCAAGGGAGATAAAAAGAGCCTTGTAAGACTTATTGGCTGAAAACTAAAACTTGGACTACCAAGACATTGCTGCATACAATCCGACTACAGAGCACTATCATGCGATTCATCTAATTTACTTATTATTGAACTACTAACATTATCTAGAACTAGTCAGTCAACGGTTGTTTAACTGCGAATACAAGGACTCACAATAATCTACAACGCGTTTGTCAAACGATTGATAGAAAAAGCACGTATGGTGTCTCTTGGGTGCTGTGTGCTGAAACAGTCATCCACTAAGAAGGATACATTGGAATTATTCACTATCGTTTCCGCAGTTTTAAGATTAGATGCAAAATGGTGCGAAATGTTGTAAAAATGCCCCACAGTAAGAAATACCACATAATCTCAAATTTTATGTGCACCCACATGTTTGGAAAATTCGCAGGGAAAGTTGGGAACTTACAATAGTCTTAGGAGTCAGTTAGCAAACTTTGACCTTGAAAACAAATAAACAGCAAACAGAGCTTCAACCCTCAATTGATGGTCAGTAAAAGGGATTTCAGAAGTGGAGGTGGAGTCGAATGCGTCGACAAATTCACTTATCTTGGAAGTCTGATCAGCCCTAATGGGTTGGTGTCTGACGGAATCTCTGCACCGATTCAAAAGCTCGTTTGGCTTTTGCCAACTTACGTCACCTATGGCGAAGACGAGATATCCGTCTATCAATTAAGAGACGAGTATACTGCACAGCTGTTCGCTCTGTTCTACTTTACGGCCGCAAAACGTGGCCATTAAGAGTAGTAGATACTCGTAGGTTACTAGTATTTGACCACAGATGCCTTAGAAATATTGCTCGCATCTGCTGGGATCACTGGGTAAGTAATAGTGAGGTTAGACGCAGGGTATTAGGGAATGATGGTAAATCAGTTGATGAGATCATGAATCTTCATCGACTGAGATGGTTGGGCTACGTGTTACATATGCCTGAACATCGATTACCATGACGCGCAATGTTGACTAGTGTAGGGGATGGTTGGAAGAGAGTTAGAGGCGGCTAACCAAATCGTGGCATCAGTGCTTGGAGTCACTAACATCTAGTTTGAGACTCTGGGTGACATGGCTCAGAATCGATCACAATTGCGTAGGTGTATATACTCCATAACTTTCCTTAAACCTTGAGGTTACAATTGCTTCATATCTTCCTTCTTGTACTACATTCTTATATGCAATCTTTTAAATATTACCACCAATAAATTAATTGCTTCTATGAATTCGGAGTTCATCTTGTTGTGCTTGTGAGGTACGTCAACTTGGACTGATGCATATGTGTGCCTAGCCCTACGTTGTAACTGACTGAGGAATTTCCGCAGTGGAGTAGTTTAAAGCAAATAGAACTAGATGAGGATAATTGAACGTATTATATTTGAAATTCATAATCAGAAGCAATCAAGCACAAGAAAAATCATTAGTTATACTTAAGGTTGGCAAAGAGAATGAGAGTATTACAGCGATCTGCAATTTCGTTTTGGGTCCGTTTGTGAATTCTCTTTGACAGAGATCTCGGTGATGGGGAATTCAGTGATTTTGAGGATACGATTGGAAGATGAAGCTAGTTTGTCTATAACTTTATTTAAGACCAAGAAAGAACCGCTTGCATTTTTTAAAGAAACTTCGGTCAAAAAGTTTTCCATAGACAGATGAGTAATAATTTTACTGGGTAATGACCTCTTTTATACGTAGCAAAGTTTCAGCTGCCGGATTGTCTCACAACTCGTTTTTTGGGATTAGTGACCTAACGTTTACCAGTTGGTTAAGTCTCCATGTCCAAGGACAGCCTTTTACACTGCGTCATAAAGTCTAGAAACACCACTAATAAAAGTGGCAGGCGTAAAGTTCCTGCAAAACTCGCGCGGTAATGCATTCACCACGACAGGTGGCTGGACACATATATCTATCATACCGTACTCACGGAAGTCAACTTTCGTTATAACAGGAAATGCCTCTATATTGTTAGTCCAGAATGACAGGAGTTACGAGATGGTAGGCATACGAAACTTAGTGTTTAAATTTTAGATGTTTGCTTCGACATAATAAGAATAGAACTTATGAATATGAGAAAACGTCATGAAAACACAAAATTGACTTCATAATATGTAGAAATAATATTACAACAAGAAACAGACTGACAATTTGTCTTTCAACGTACCAGATCACATCCAGACTCACTACGACAGATGTCGCGGATATGTAATGCTTGATAACTTGATTGTCCGCAACACCGTTGTAATCAATGATATCGGACCCAGTCTAATCAGAAGTCATAAATGAAGGGGTTCGAAGATATAACCATAAGATAATTGGTGTGTCGAAAAGTATATGATCTTAGTCTAGAAATGGTTGTAAGAGGCGTAAGTTAAACTATTTCATACCAATATGTTAACGTTTATTCTACTACATCTAAACATTTTACGTCATGAATAATTTCTTCCTCTCCTTTTATTTAGTATTTCTGTGACATCAAGTAATCACTTGTAGATGGAAAAATTTCTGAGTTTAAATGGATTATGTGAGATATGTTTTCTAATCGTTACCACAGCTGTACAGCTTGTGTTACTGACAAGTATTATGCTAGTTAGAATGATGACTACTATTAAATCACGACCCTAAATAATACACCGATATTCAGCTAATGGTATAACATGTTGTGCTTTGCTTTTACTTCTAACGATTGTACTACACATCTAGCAACCCGTTCTGAGAGATTATTTCACCTGGCTATGAGTACAGTATAAGATCTGTAAAAGTGTTGCATGTCTGCTCTGCCAGGAGCACGAATTGAATCTTGTCATTTTTGACAGCATGATTTAGTTAAGCTAACACGGACTGACCAAGGATTTTTGAACACGGTTAACTGAAAAGGATGTTGCCATATATGTGTGCCTTACCTCAACTATTTTTATTTCTATTGGTTACAAATCTGATACCTAATCACTGTCACAAGTACACCTGAATCCCAGCAGCTTGATTGAGGCACATGCGAAATAGTACTTAGGATCTAAGCATATCAAAATGAAAGACAACTCGTCATGTTCCTTATGTATGTATGTACGTATGTATGTATGTATGTATGAATGTATGAATGTATGTATGTATGTATGAGTATCTGTGCTTGTTTGTAAAGCTTCCTCCATGGGTACGTCTTATGAAACAAAAAGCTTTCGTATCACTCTAAATATGAAGTCTTTTTCGCTGTTGGAGTCTCCATTCTCAAAGTGAGAACACAATGCAAGGTAGCTAGGTATCACGGATACCCGAACTAGAGAGAAAAAACTGGTGCCACAGAAGCAAATTTATATAAATATAACGAGTTCCTGCGATTGTCACAGTAAAAGTTTTTTTGGTTACACTTTTAACTGAGATTTTCCAAGGTAATACTAATAAGAATCGTTTATGCTTATATTGGCGGTTTTCACTAACTATGAACTTCAATTGTGAACTGTAAAGGCACTGAAAAGGACACTAGTCGCAATTAAAGCCACAATATTGGGGATACTGACCCCAAAAGATGAAATGTTGGTACAACTGAACAAGATCAGTTGTGTTAATACTGTAGTTGGTGTCCAGTCGCAACTGACTATGATCACCACTACAGAAAGATTACGTGCCAGATATTGAGTTGGATCCTTCCGTAGGCTTTAAGCCAGGAGGCAGTTGACGGATGTACTAAGATATATTTGTTGGCGATCTCTTGGTATCGAAAGAATACCGAGATCGTACCAAAGTGTACGAGCTGAACTGCCTAGCGTATGCGAGTTAGCGCAAGATGACAAGCAACGGAAGAATGTGTGTGTTTTGTATACTTAAACAAACAGGTACAGTAAAACAATCACTGGCACGATTGGTTATAATAATAATTGTTTCCATCATACCAATCGCGTTATCGTCATCAAAGTAAGTCACAAAAATACTTCTGCTCCATTTAAAATTGTTATTTATGATACTTTAGTTAGTGCATTTTAGGTTCTAGGTAAGATTGTTACTATTTATTTTACATGTGATTTCGCTTTCCTTCTGCATCGTTTTCATTTCCTGAGTCTGATTTGTTATTTTAGTTTGTAGACCATCAAGTTCTTCTTTATTAATCCTTCCGATATTTTGGAGGGATATAAGTTCGAAACTTCTAAAAGCCCCCACCTTCGCATGTATCTATTCTCGACCATCAGTTGTATGTTGCAACGCTACCTCCATAAAGTGCGCCAAGTGTGATATTGATATTGACATGTTTCTTATGAAATCCATTTCTATTCATATCTTATGAAATATCAACCCAGCTGAGTAATTTTCAACAGTGAAAATTGTAACTTCTTTAACAATTTGATCTTCCCTGTAAACCGACATGCCTCATGTAACAATCTGTTATTTGAGAATAAATTATTATTATTATCATTATTATTTTATGTTCAGGATAGAGTAACAGGCGCGCAATTTTTAGTAGACACGGGAGCGGAGATAAGCGTCGTCCCCTCATTGAGCAACGAAAGACAAAATATCGATACTGCGTTAACTCTTAAAGCAGCGAATGGATCCGACATAAAGACATATGGCAAGCGGAAACTAACCTTACATTTTGGCCGTAATATTTCACTTTGCTGGGAATTCATCATCGCCGATCTGTCCGTACCCATAATAAGTATCGATTTCTTAAAGAGTTTTGACCTATTGGTAGATCCTCGACGAAACCAACTTGTGAATAGAGAACGCTCAGTAGTCATAAGAGGAGTGACCACCGATCATGTATCTATGAATTTAGTAGTGTCGAAGGATAAGAACGAACAATATAAGTTACTTCTAAATAAGTTCGCCGATTCAACGAGGTCATCATACGACAACAAAGGTCTTAAACATACAGTACAGCACCATACCGTCACGAAAGGTCCACCGACTAAAGTAAGAGCGCAACGGTTGGACCCAAAAAGGTTAAAAATTGCGAAACGAGAATTCGAAAAATTAACGAAACTTGGTATCATAAGGCCATCTAATAGCCCCTGGGCATCTCCGTTACATATGGTTCTCAAAAAGAATGGAGAAATCAGACCATGTGGAGATTATAGAGCCCTCAACAAGCAAACGATAGCAGATAGATACACAGTGCCTCAAATCCACGACATCACTACCGAAATGGAAATCGCCACGATTTTTTCGAAAATTGATATTGTTCGGGCTTATTACCACATTCCAGTGGCCCCAGAAGATATACCAAAAACGGCTGTAATCACTCCATTTGGTTTCTTTGAGTTTTTGCGAATACCATTTGGACTAACTAATGCAGCTCAAACCTTTCAGCGATTTATCGATCAGGTTGTTAGAGGTTTAACAGGAGTATACGCATATATCGACGATATATTAGTAGCTAGCGCTACCGTGGAAGAACATCTACAACAGTTATTTACGAGACTTCAAGAACATGGTGTCACTATTAACGTGGAGAAATGTGAATTTGGAAAGAAATCATTGCAATTCCTAGGTCATATGATAAATTCTCGAGTTATTATGTCAGTTCCGGCAGAAGTTGCTGTTATTCGTAATTACCCGTTGCCCGAGTCACAAAAAAAGCTACGACGATTCCTGGGACTAATAAACTATTATAGGCGATTTATTCCAAACTGCGCAGCAATACTACAGCCACTGACGGACGCTTTGCGAGGAAATACCCGAACATTCCGTCTATCGACAGAGGCCATACAGGCTTTTGAGAACGTTAAGCGAGCACTACATGAAAGAATGATGTTAGTACGACGAAAGAGCAAAGCGCCACTAGCCGTCATGACAGGCGCATCGAACATAGCAGTGGGAGCCGTACTGCAGCAGTTAGTAAACGGAACATGGGAACCAATTTCATTTTTTTCCAAAAGATTAAATCCGACGCAAACGAGATACAGTACGTTCGGAAGAGAACTATTAGCGATTTACTTGGCAATCAAACATTTCCGACACATGATAGAGGGTACCATTTTCACAGTGTATACAGATCATAATCCCCTCACTAAAGCATTAAACGCCAAGCAGGATAACTATTCGCCGAGGGAAATTCGACAGTTAGAATTTATTTCCCAATTTACATCTAACATACAGTATATTGAAGGTAATAATAACGAAGTGGCAGATGCGTTGTCCAGAACAACGATAAACGCGATTATTACAAATGGAGTTGATTATCACGGTCTCGCGAAGTTACAAGAGACAGACATCGAACTAAACAAGCTAAGATTCGATGACACGACGTCATTATTATTCGAAGATGTTCATTTCGGCAATGCGAAAGTAATATGTGACATGTCGACAAGCCGACCTCGCCCATTCATTCCTAAATCATTGCGACGGAAAGTAGTCGAAAGTATCCATAACTTATCGCACCCGGGAATAAAAGCCAACGTGAAATTAATCAGTGAGCATCTCGTATGGACGAAAATGAATCGCGATATACGAAATTGGACACAAGCATGCATGAAATGTCAAAAAGCCAAAGTACATCGTCATACTAGCTCGCCAATGGGTTCATTTTCACAGCCAGATACTCGATTCGAACATATACATATCGATATCGTGGGACCACTGCCAGTTACGAACGGGTACAACTATATTTTTACACGCATCGATAGATTTACACGATGGCCTGTAGCGGTGCCAATAAAAGACACCTCACTTGAGTCTGTAGCAAAAACCCTTATCGAAAATTGAATTTCTTACTATGGTATACCAGCGATTATCACAACCGATAGAGGAGCTCAGTTTGAAAGCAGTCTCTTCCAACAGCTTACAGAACTCCTCGGAATTAAACGTATTCGAACGAAATCCTACCATCCAATGGCAAACGGAATGGTTGAACGCCTACATAGGCAGTTGAAATCACCCCTTACATCTGTCATAGTCAATAACGATTGGGCTAATAAGCTTCCTCTAGTCATGTTAGGTTTAAGAACAATAATTAAACAGGATATGGGATGTTGTCTAGCCGAGTTGGTATATGGATTAACTTTACATTTACCCGGAGAATTTTTCGCTTCAGGTAAAAGTGTTCCGACTGATGTAGCCAACTACGTGCAACGCCTGAAGCAACACATGAACGATCTAAAAATAGCACTTCCCAGACTACAACAACGACGAGTATTCATACCTCAGGAACTACATAATAGCACGCACGTATTCATCAGAAGAGACAATGTACAACCACCTCTGCAGCCGAATTGTGAAGGTTCATTTAAAGTGATTACGAAGACAGATAAGACAGTTACAGTAGAAAAAGCTGGAAAGACAGATGTAATCAGCATCGATCGAGTGAAACCAGCTTTCATCGATAACGATTTTCAATCGACAAGCACAAGCCTCTCGAAGACGATCACACCGACGAAACACGAGTCTCAAGAATCAACGACGCTGACGCACCAAAAAGAAGAGACTCCGATAACAACAAGATTTGGTCTCTAAGTAAGATGGCCGCAACGCTATGTCGCTACAATCTTTTACTGATAATTTTCTGCTATTTCGAATATTAATTATAATTCTTCCTATTCATAGTATACATACGTTAAATTAGGCTCATGTCATACGCTATTAAACTCGCCATAACTTATGTACCTTTACGCTTATACGTGTAATTTTTTTTCGAAGCGATACCATATTCCTTCTATTTCCTACCGCTATTTTGTATAGCCTAACGGATGGGCACGAACTAAATACACATTAACTTCAACCTAATCTTGTACAGGCCCATATCTTCAATTGATTGTAACTGCGCTATTCCATTTACTGTGCTTTATGCAAACACAGACATTTTTTACATATATCTTTGTTTGCAGGAGGGAGTTATATAGCAACCATCCTACAATCGATTTCGATTATAGTCAATTTTGGTCAAGCCCTTTTGATTAACTTACTTAGCAGATATTGTCATTCGGATAGTAACAGCTTACATATATATTCGCACTGCTATACCACTAGAGCACATGATACTCTAGCCAAAATGTTGACTGCTTAAATATCATTCGATGACTCATACTCCTTCCCATATATGTATTCACGCAAATACTATTATCAGCCTTTGTTTTGTTTCGCTGTGCTCCTTATTAAATCTGACTATAAATTGCCTATGTAATTGCTTGCTATTCGTTCCCTCGCTCCTTCGCTTGTTCGCCTGTTCACTCGCTCTCGCTTGCCGCCCACTCGCTCGCTCGTTGATATTCGCTCAGGTGTTGTTAGCTTTCTGACCTGAGTTATTTGACAATAAACTGTAGTTGCTGCTTTCCTTTGTCTTCTGATTTTACACACGGTTATCTAAGTGAACGATTAATGAATCGCGGCACTACGCAGTAATGTTTTACTTTACGCAGACATTTTGATTTTTCGGGACCCCCAGGGATTAAAAGAATAATTATGCCTACTTTAAGTAACATATGTGTAATAGTCAATAAATCCCCAAGATAATTAGCTTCGTATTTCATTAACATTAAGGGTAATCATAATGGTTTTATTGGACAGAAGATTTGGTGAAGCGGCTCAGTCAAGCATTCTCACCATATCACATTTTATTATGGTGAGCATCACACCTTCTCTGTCAACTAGCTAATTCCGATATTACAGTTCATGATACAGATGCCTACAATTAAAATATAACTTCCTACTCATTCATCCTCGACTTCTGTTTTCATTGGACTTGGTATCACTTGATAAGAAAAGTCTTGAACAGCATCGTAATCAAATCCTTCCATATTCGGAATCTCTTCACCGGTATTGTACAACCAAAATACTAATCTCAAGAAGCGAAATGTTTACTCTCTCTATCCAACAAAGTTTGAAAGCATATTGTCTACTGATTACTTCAGAAAAATTACATATGACATTCCTTTCCCACGTATTCACTCATGAGACAAGGCTCATGAAATAAAATCCAGCTTACGATATGGCTTTCAAGCTTACAAAGTTCTATCACTTAACGTTCCCATGAAATGACATTTAAATCTTATGAATATTTTATGAATATGACAAAATACACAGAGGTCCATTACACGATGCTCGATTAATGATCAACATGGAACCATAAAATGAGCAGTGAATATAACTATCATTATTATCATAATCCTCTCAAACACTTGTGAAAATGTCTGAAACTTAGCCACGCCTCATATTGACCTCTGTATATCGTCGTTAGCAATTTAGGAGATTTTCTGCGTTTGACCCTCATTTAGGAAGTTTTTCATTATCTTGGTTGCATTTCCTATCAATTTATTGTAGTTATTTTTTAATCGTACTAATCAGAGGGGTGAAATCTGTAGTTACAAAAGAAAATAAAGACAATGAAGTTGAACCCTATGACGTTAGCTAAATTCACTGGTTATTTTCGTATGAATATTGAAATATCAACAAAAACAAAATATTTTTTTCTATAAAAAAAGTTTTTAAAACTGACTTTCACCATATGTCAATAAGTTCACTTTAATATCATTTACTTTTATTTTAATGCGCGATCATTTTGAATAATTTTAGCCAAATTATCAAAAGTTAGAAAACAATGATTGAATAGTTGCCTATAATAAACAAAAGATATATGAACAATTGAAAATATGTTGAAAGTTAAAATGAAACAAAATAATTCCAGTCAGTATTCTTCAATCAGTTAATATAATGAAACACAGAGTATGCTACTCTAATTTACGTAGTACATTAACTACGTCATATCTTGATCGATAGAGTTAGATACTCTTAATCTATGTTACTTTGAGTACATGAGTGATGCTATAATTCAACGATTGAACTATATAATTAGTAGTTTACAAATAATCATTCAATCGTAGGTTTCTATTGTGTGTGGTCTGCTTATATCCATATAAGTAGTCTATGGTGTTGGTCAGACATAGAATGTATTTTGGCAGAAGACCGATGAGGAAAGAACTGAAACGAAGCGCAATCAGTAGGAAAATGCACGAACAATGGAATTAAAGAAGAAACAGTGAAGATTGAGACTATTGGTTATTAATTTGCAAATTAACTGTCCATTGTATGGTTATCAGAATTTACTGAAACAGTCTGTAATGTTTGCTTAAATAAATTCGATTGTCTCCAACCAGTGTTCTTGCTCACTCCACTATGACTTGCAATCTTATGAATTTTATATTTTATAGTTAATTATTTCTTTTGAATCATTGGTGTTATCCTTTGTTCGTAAACTGTTTAAATAGAACACATAAATTAATGAGTTCGAAAAAATCTAAAATTCCTCTGTTAATTGTATATTTGATCATAAGTACTCTAGTTGTTGGATGCTATTTGAACAAAAATATTAAGACAGATAAATTGAAGTTTGAACAACAATACAATGGAAATAACAGATTACTTTGTAATACTTGTTAAATGATCTTGTCAATTGAGCAAATTACATCGGTTTTCAGATGTATGGATTTCATCCAGATTATATCCACTTGTCTTATATCATAAAGAGTAACTTGAAGCCATATTGTTTGATTCAGATGCATTGGTTATTATGTAGTACAGGGAGGTTTTCCACCATTTTAAGGTGTAAATCACAAGATATATGAACACAGGTTTGTGAACTATATGTTCTGTTGTATTTAGGTATTAGGTTTTGATTGAAGTCATCAGATGGGTGAATAAGAATGGCTACACTTAAACTTATTTTCACATTAAAAGTATCTGAATAGCATCAACGATAAACAAGGATGATCTAATGCAAATTTGAAGGCAAGGATTGACAAAGCAGGAGTGACATTAGTGCAACTGAAGTACATAAGGAGCTCAAAACAACTGTCAGACAACATCAAAGTGAGAATCTTCAATAAGAACATCAAAACAATTCTACTATACAGAGCTAAAACTTAGAGAACTACCACAAACCTTGATCAAAATAGAACAAGTATTTGTAAACAATTGTCTATTCAAGATATCCACTGTCCGTCAGTCTGATACCATCAGTCTACTGTGGAAGAGGACAAGCTAGCTTTTAGTTGAAGAGGAAATTAAGAAATTAGGTGGATGGGATATATATTGCTGAAGTTGTCAGGCTGCATTACGAGCCAGTCTCTAACTTGGAATCCCGAAGGGAAAAAGAGAAAAGGAAGACCAAAGAACACATTGTGCCGAGAATCGGAAGCAGACACTAAAAGAATGAATAGCAAATGTAAAGAACTGGAAAGGGTTGCCCAAGACACACTTGAATGTAGAATACTGGTTGGTGGCCAATGCTCCTCCATGTGGGGGGGGGGGTAACAGGCGTAAGCTAGTAAGTACCTTAAAGGTGTATGTGTAGCACTCACGGACTTCAATTGACACTGAGCTTAGTGATGTAAATCAAATAGTCATTTAATGACCACTATGAAGAAATACCCTTTTCTGAATCAAGGCGAACTGATACAGGCCCAAACGGGATTTAATTTAATTAGAACACGTAATGTTGAATTTATTTATCGCTGAAAAATTCCCATCATATTAAAACACAATTATATGAACGAAGAATATTCTTTTCAATAATTTCAATAATTTTCAATGATTTATTTATTTCTACAGATAATTTTCACTACTTATGATGCATGGCGAAAAGTAAAGTAGAAAGATAAGAGTATCATCCATTTTTTTATTCATGGCTCCACGTCAGTTCTACGTCCGAGATTACCTTCGTAAAGGCTTTGGATAATTGTAGCTTAAACTATACAGTTTTCTAGGGTCTATTCATTTAAGATCTTATAAACATGAATCCAGATAAATAAATAAAACAAAGTCCGTGATGTAAGCTACTTATATTGGCAGATATAAGTAGTATGTAGCAGCAATCGAATGTGGAATGCCTGCCAGCAGAAGAGAGAATAAGAATGAAAACAGTGAAAAATTGTAATGAAAACAGAAGTGAGAGAATCCTGAAGCATGTAAAGGGCAACTGAAGAAAGATGTTCAAATAATGTATTTAATGTATGATTTTCATATTTTACCAAAACACTCTTTATTTAAGACTTGAACAGTAAATTGTTTTTAATCATCGGAGTTCTCGTTCACTACAAGTCTATTGGGAAATTATTATCATTGTAAAATTTTGTTGGAACAACTCTCGTTAGTGCATAAAAAGTGGTTACAAATGCATAATTAAACATACCATACTCTACTTATTATTGTGCTGCAAATTACAAATGTATAAGCTTAATAGACAATCTTTTCTCGTATTTATGAGTCATCTAAAAACTATCAATGCATTAACAAAAAATAGTAAGCATGTCTTTTTCAAAACCTAATCGGAGCATAAGTGTCGAACGTATTCGGAACCACAATTTATCGGAACGTGTAACTAAATGTTTTGACTGATTTAATTTGCCAACACTGAATTATGGCTAATTATAGTAGTTTGAATACAGTGAATCCTGAATGTTAAACGACTATTCTCTGGACTTAAAGTTCTGCCATTTTTGAACGACGTAAGTTAATATTGTTGTTAACGTACTTCTTTCAGGATGCCATGTTGAAAACATCCTGGATCAAAATATAAACTATAAAATTAAAGGAATATTTTTTACTAACTATGTAGTTGGCTTTCTAACAACTTTTTAAAGCTGAATTACAGTGCAAATTTGATTATTTACTTATGCTAAAAAACAACTACTTGACAATCATCATTATTTCGTGACAGAATCTACTCAAGATAAAATGCAACTGGATTTCAAAAGTTTCATCAATTTAACTACCAATTTTATTTCACAGTAAGTCTTTTAAATCGTACTTTGTTAATTCTCATTACAATTTATGTTGGTAAGGTTTATAGCGAATGAAAGTTAATACAGAAAGAAATGTTGTAGTCATTTCAAAACTTTTTGTTGAATATTTTCCAATGAAAAGTTAGTGGTTCAGTGAAAACTTATATTACTCAAGTTATTACTGCTAATAACTCAAGGTTCCAACATCCTGGAATGTCAAGTATTTACCTTAAAAACCACGTCATGTATCACTTAGAACTAACGAACTCACTCAGATGGTTAGTCTTTTGTTGTAACCAAACTATATCAAATATCCTATAACTAATAAAGACTGTATAATAGATAATGTTACTTAGATAAATTGTTTACTATGGATCATTTTACTATATCAACATAGAAGTCTATTTGTATTTTTCTTGAACGACAAAGAAGTTTAAATAGTCAATGTTTACCTGTTTGCGTTTGGTTGAAATTCATCTGAAATCAAAATGAGAAGTTTAATCAACTGCTAGGGATTAATTTTAAATTATTGAGTCAATTGATAATACTAAGAGAAATGTTAAATCATATTTCTCTTTTTCTCTCTTATGTTAAGATTTAGTTTTCTTTCAATATTCCTATTCTAACAGATTAGTTCACAACTGATTAGAGTATACAGTCGAAAAAGTTTTCGCTTGAATTAGTCCCAATAAAAACTCATAACTTCATGATTAACTTCAATAGATTTTGATAAGAACATTCACAACACATAAGCTGGAATTTAAAATTACTAATCATAAAATTCGAATTCAATGGGTGGTAGTTCGTTTATCATAAAATTTAGGGGTAAAGAGTATCATTGATGAAATGATTTACTGCATTTAATGCTAACATGGCAATACTATAGCAACTCTCCTACAATCAATCTCGATTATGGCTAAATTTTGTTAAGTCTTTTTATTAACTTACTCGACAGACAATGTTATTCGAACAGTAACAATTCGCATATTTCTTTGCACTATTATGATCACTGTCATATCTGTATAAACGTGTACGCTTGATTACATGACAGACTGTAGCATACATACCGCTCGATGATTCATTCCTTTCCCCATGTATATATGTATGCGAATCCTATTGTAAGCTTTCACCTGGCCTAGCTGCACCTTGGTTCTGTTTGACTTTAAATTCGCCTCTGCATTCGCTCGCATACACACATTCTTCTCTCTGCTTCAAATTCGTTCGATGTGCTTACAGCTTTGTCATCCATGCTGTCCGCTAATAAATTATAGTCGCCGCTTCTTATTGCCTTCTGGTTTTAAACACCGTGGGATAAACATAATAACGGTTACAGAGGTCGTTGATTGACGAAGCTAAGCCACTACAATAATAATGACAAAAGATAATTCACTTTTCACTGCTTTTGATTTATAGATTTTCTGTAGGTATTTGCTTTATTTATATTCAAATATAGTTTGAAAGGACCCCAGTTCTACTTTGTCAGTCACTTATTTATTATCAATCTTGCTTAGATGAGATAATATGCGTCTTGACAACGTATTTAAGAAGGCGAATCACTACAGTTCACACTTTACCTCATTCTGAAGCTTCTTTCAATCTTATTATATAAGAGAGACGGGAAATTATTCATATTATTATTCTTTTGAAAATGAAGATAATTTCACCTAAGACTCACTACATAATATCAACTACAAACTCTAGATGTACTACTTATAGACAATTAGGAAAACACAAACAAACTTTCGAGAGCTTAATGCTTTAACATTTAAAATCAGCTTGGTAAACACATGTGTAGTATTTCCATTAGATCTCAAATTTCTTCAATATGTTTCTAATCATAATTGAATAATACACATTTACAATTGTTCAATTCATTTAATATTAATAATACTTAAGATGCTTATTTAATACTATGCACAAACATTTGCTTGTTTATGAACTTAGCTAATTAAGTTATGTATTCAAGTATCTGATTATAACCGACACGTGAATTTTTCTTCATATTGCTTGATCTATAATTAGATAGTTACGTAAAACTTTAAAACTACATTTTATGGCAGACATTTCTTTGATTGAATTACTTGTTCCGCTTATTAATGCGTATATTGAAAGTAATATATTAGTATTATCCTGAAATATTTGTAAGTTAAGTGAAATAAAGTAGCAATGAGTTCGATTTTGAGGTAGATGACACACTTCTACTTAATAGTAAATATCTTCTAGAATAAAATAAGTTTACTTCAAAATTTAAAATAAGAAATGAAAACTGAGATAAAACTTTGGCTCCATAGTATTGTTATCATATATTTCTCTATCAAAATTTACTGATGATCTTAAACGTTTTTGGATTTTATGCTTCACGAGTAAACTCTTTAAAATAGAGATATTGAAGTTATTAAAATCAATTGAAGCTAGACCACCATGGAAATCCTGGAAGCACTGGACGGCTGTTTCGTCCTATCGTGGTACCCAGTAATACGCATACACGCTCCTACCTCGTGAGATTTGAACCCAGAACCTATCAATCTCGTGTGCGAACGCTTAACCGCTAGACCACTGACCCGGCATCCAACTGTGTTAATGTCCAACTTCAGCTAATTCACAAAATTGAGCGACACATCCACTATTGTCTTCAGTGAGTTAATATCCCACAACAGACCTGGTTGAACTCCACTGGTCACTGCTTCTCACTAGAACTTTAGGAAATACCTCTTGAAGCCAGTCACTTATGAGCATATGTTTTCCATGGTGGTCTAGCTTCAATTGATTCATGATCTCAACTATTAAAATTACTATAATATCCACGAAACCTCATCTGTTATTAAAATGACTTTGTAATTCCTATCATTACATCCTTTGTTGATATCTCAAACAAGAAACTTATTCATGTGATCAGCAATACAAATGGGAATTTCAGTACATAAGCCTAACTAGTTCTTAATAAAACAATTATACATAAAGTTGTCGGAAATGCAATTTCTCAAGAATATAATTTATTATTCAAAACGACATTTACACTTCATTCAATAAGGAGATCAAAAGAAATATGAACAGACTTACTTACCGTTATGATATTTACTTTCTTGAACTATCCAATAAATGAAATAAATTCAAACTTGTTAAAATACTATAGAATATTATTTATTTATTTAAACACATAAATATTGGTACAAAGAAGCACCAGATACATATGCGCCGCACAAATCTCATTTGATTTGTATGAGGGCTGTGATACTGAAGCAGGTGGTTTTCTTTAAAGGGCCACACCCGGAGCATTTGACCTAAACGTTTGATCCACAAGTCAGTGGAGCATCGTGAGGAGATGCAGTCCCATGGTAACCGGTGACCGACGATTGATTCATACGCCATTTGTACCATCAGGATACTGGAGCCCATGTGCACCATTGGTTTGGAATCAAGGTTTTCCAACTCCCCTGAGTAAACTTTCCGTGTCCACCAACCCGTTTAAAGCGCCGGACATTCGCTTTTCATCCTCTCAATTTCGTAAGCAACCAACTCGCCACGAGAATGCAGTGAGTAGGACTTACCTGACAGAAGCTTTATACGCGTGACCATGTGAGAGCATTTGGAGAGGGAGAGCGGACTCTCCCCACTCTTGGCTGAACCAGGGCATTTGGGGGCATAGAATATTTAGTATTGTAGAGAAATAATTTTTGTCACCTTTCATATTCATTCCAATATATGTAAATTACAAATAGGGTATCATAACGGTATGCTATGAAAAGAAAAAGCCTATCACATCAGCTTATGATTTGCACATTTCATTTGTAAGTAGTATGTACCATGGATAATTTAGAATCTCATCAGCTTGTTAGCATTTTATTTATGTTTTAGTCACTGAAAGTAAATAAAATTTCGTGAATATTAAATTTTTAAACATTGATTAGTAATGAGAAATAGTCAGCTGTACAGATACTATAAAATTTATCCCAATTATCATGAGAACGGAAGAAGTATTATTTCTACAAAGCTGACTATCCAAGAAGATGATCAACCCGATTTTTAAGATATGATAAAGTGAAATAATAAATCAGTCGGATGATAAAAATTTTTTTCTCAAATGCTTATAGAATCCATGATGCTTTTATTTCATAACATTTCTTCAGAAATGAAACTTGTTGTGATACTACACTAAATCTATAGACATTTCATAACTATTAAAGCTATGTAACAGAAATTGCAATATATTACCAAGTGACGCATAACCAGTTTTTCAATTAAAAAAAAGGTTAAAAACTTAGTGTCACTCACTGTTACTAAACATGGCTAATTAAATTTTGAAATGAACTTTGATATTTTATGAAGTAAAAACAATCATAAAGCATCACATATTGTTAAAGTTTGATAGGTTTTAATGACTCAAATATTAAATTTAAATGATACACGTTTGAAAATGAACACTTATACTAATCCAGGATTCCAACTAATATTTTGTACGCAAAGATGGATAATGGCTAGCAGTGGAATCTAGGAGGCACGTTTCGTCCTATTTGAGACTTGTCAGCTTCAAACGCCACCGCCTTATCCACTCAGTCCTGATAGCCACTTGCTTGTGCAATGGGGGTGAAGTTAGAAGCAAAAAGTACTGGGTTCGAGTCCCATAGTGAACATCAACTCTGAGATGCAGGTACATTCAGCTGACAAGTCTCAAATAGGACGAAATGTGCCTCTTGGATTCCACTGCTAGCCATTATTCATCTTTGCTTACATTGCTTGTGAATTAAGGCTATATTGAGGCAATACGCACAGTATGCACACATATGCCAATTAGAGACTGACCAGTTGCAGTCCTAAACATCAGTGGGAAGATTCAAACAAACAATACGAAGTGAACTTAATATTTTGTACATTATAATTTGAATAGGAATACATACACAAATCCTTATATCACAGAATTCATTATTTTCGTTTATGACTTTTAACTGGATAAATAATTTAGCTATTCACTTCAGCAACATTAAATATTTGATATGAGGTATTAAATGTTATTAAAACGTTTTGATGCAACAATTGCTATAAAATAAGATGTAATAATTCGTGTAAAATAAAATACAATGTTTCTGCTTAAGATTCTCAAAACAACTTATATGGGGTTTTAAATCTTAATTTAAGCAAGTTCATTATGTACTTTGAATAACGATCATGGTACTTGAAATTCATCGTCGAAATACCTAGAACTGATATCAATACCAGAAAATTATTACGAATTTCTTTTCGTTAGTCCTAACGTTAGTGTCCAGGGACAAAAACATATAAGGTACAAGAAAATAAAAGAGAACATAGGGAACTTCAACTGTCGACTGTCTACAAATATTTGAACGATATCTTGGGATCAGTGGTCAAAAATAAACCTAATAATTGGATTCCTAAGTTATCTGTCAGTTATTGACCTGCGAAAATATCTTTCTTACCACTTTTTTCCTGCAAATGATTCGTTCATACTTACGTTTGCAGTTTTATACGTTTTATTCAAGTTATTACATATTGTTGAACCTTATATGCTATCAACTTATGGTTAACTTGTTAGCCTTCAAAATACATAAAACAAAAATTCTTATCGTTATAAGCTCACCTTTCAGATTTTTGTCTTTTTGTTTCAAGAAATGAAGAAATAAATCGATAAATTCCTTGAATATCAACTCAACTTTATAGTTCAAAAATGGTCAAAATAATCATCTTAAACTACCGCACAACCCTACTAGTCTGGTTCAACTTTCTCCAAGTTATCAGATGATAAGTAGAATTTTAATTTCTACAATGAGACCCTGTTTTGACATAATACGAAGCTACGATGGTCATTCGATTTAAGTAGTATTCACGGTGAATCAGGAATAAAAATGTCTGGCAGCAGAAGGTCGAGAAGATCGAGAAGGAAAGAATGGAGACGGGAAGCGATTGGTATGGAAATGAAGTAACAGTGAAGTCTGAGACTATCGACTGAGGTTTGCAAGGGAACAGTCAAGTTTGAAACATTTGACTTATATTTTGCAAATTAAACATTTGCTGTTTGGTTCTCGGATTTTATGAAAAAGTTCGGTAATTTTGTATTTTATTATATTTGATTGTCCATTCTAATGTTCTTGTTCACTACAACTCTCGTTTGTAAGATGGTGAGTGATTATTACTTTCTATTCATATAGAAAATGTCACTGTCGTTAATACAAATTGACTGGTCATAAAGAAGAAAATAGTTAAACTTTTCAACTGAATAGATTTAGATTAAAATTCAAGCCTAGCAATTAAATGTTCAAGCGTTCTCTGAGTTCATCAATAACAAGTCAGCCTATATTCAAGGGTGAAAGGAAGTTCGTAACAATATTATCATTCGATTTGGTTCCAAACAGATTTGACACCAAATGTCACCAATAAATTGAATAATCATTGGCGACCACCCGATAAACTGCATTAAAAAGACAATTCAAACAAATACTTGTTCTTCTGAAGATCACCTTCAGTTAATGAACAACAGTACAGTTGTGCGCTTCTTCATGGAACTGATTTTTCTAGTACATTTTTTCTTCAGTCATTAATCTAGGGTATTGGAAGCTTGATTAGTTTGATTATCTTCGACTGAAGTACATACCACTGATCCACTGCTTGTAATCCGAACAACACTCTATTTTTCTGAAGATCAGTCTGACAAATTCCTCAAACAATAAAACTTGAGATGATCAATAAATGATTTTTGTTTACTGAAAGTTGATGAAGGATTCCAAAGTAACCATCAACAAAATACCATGACGCCAATTACTTAAACTGAGAAACTTTCCATTTCTGGTCAATGAAATGATGATTGCGCAGCTTATTTTTTGAGTCAGACTCTGTTTTGAATAGCATTGTTATCCACTTTACTTTCTTGTCTGACAAGCTTATATGTCAAAATGGTGACTGTTAATTTGCAAAGCCGAATATTGTTGATATGGCTGAGCTAGATATACAAAAGTCGGCATTTCATAGCTGTAATCGGGGCACCCATTGTCTATGTTGCACATTGACTTTGTACGCCCGACCAACTTTAAACAATTCACTATAAACAAGTAACATTGGCCTTTACTTATAAATAAAGCGAAATATAACTGCACAGTTGTTTATTTACAGCAAGTTTGACGAGATTGAATGGTTACAATATTAGCACACAAATAACGGTGAAGACCGACAAAACTTTAGTATAATGAAATGATTTAACTTACCTCTTTCATTCACATCTAAATTGTGCCATTATGTTTATAACATAAATTTTATTTCCCAAGTATTCTGTGCGTAATGTTTATAAATTGTATGCTTTACTATTTTAACTTCAGGAACTCTACGAATCCTTTAGAATTAATTGATAACTGTACCTAATTAAACGAAGAAGCTATTCGAAAACCGAGAAAATAGCTGTGTTTGTAGGTTTCATTTTCCATGGCTTTCGTCCCTATGTCTACGTGTTAGTGAAAATCCCTTCACCTGTACCTCTTATGTCGGTATAAACATCTTTCTCACTTAAACGTAACTTTATCATTCTAGATACTTTCATTTGGGTATTTGGTGTTTCTCTGGCTCTAGATATAAGTATAATCATAAATTTTAATCGCAGTATCGGTCTTCTTAATGTGTCACATCATTTGTGTGGTTTCTACAGGCTGTGTTTTGTATTCACCATAGGGTTCCAAAACCGTTGGCGTCTATCGCATGGTATTGTGTAGTAGTTTTCAAGTCTTTGCTAACAATGACTCCCAGGTCACTGTGTATATGGACAACAGGTAGATCACGGTTATTCATTGTGTATATACCTGTAACTTGGTGACCGATGTGCATCATGATACACTCGGAAACGTTTACTGGTAACTGCAGAATTCTAGATCATTCAGATAATTTCTCCAGGTTATTTTCAAGCTGTGAACTATCGCCTTTTTAAAACTCTCCATATCTTGACATCTTCAGCATAAAAAAACCGATGATAGGAAACTAGAAAGATCATTTACATATAGGAGCAACAACACTGGCCACGAAACTGTACCCTGAGGCACTCTGCTAATTAAAGTTTCCTAGCTTATCAGCTTGGAGTTAACCCGTACTGTTTGTTAAGGCCTAACCAGTAAATCTACTGTCCACACAAAAACGTTGTATTTAATACGGATATTATTTAACTAAGATAATAGTCATTGTGAGGGACTCGTTTAAAAGCCTTACTGAAGTGAACAAAGGCTACATCTTAAGGTAACTTTCGATCTTTAAGAACACACTAGCTTTCACTGGCTTCTAATAAGTTTTTGAGACATGAATAACCTATTCTAAAGTCATTCTGTTATTAGGGAAAAATCCGGTTTTGTCTAAATAACTAAACAACTCTTTCTGAATAATCTTTTATAAAAATTTCAACAACCACACTGGTTAGGTTTGCAACTCGATATTTCTCAGGTTTGTGTTTTGTATCTGTGTACTATTGGGTTCTTTCAGTCTTTTGGTAGTCTACCTTAGGTTACAAGTAGATTAAAACATATGCTTAATGGATTCGCGCCATAATTTGATTCATACTTTAATCATCTAAGGTGCATTTTATCGGGTCCAGTCGATTTACCTATATCAAGCTTATTTAACAGACCAGTGACATCGAGTTCTTCAAAAGTCATGGTGTTCGGAGTGTGTATAGAGGGTTTGTATGAACAGGAAGGGGAGAATACCATTACAGTGTACACATGGATAGAGTAATTTGAGAATAACTGTGCTTTACCATAATCGTCTTCCACTAATGATGCAGTAATAATTTCTCTCCATAAAGCTGAGATGTTGTATCTTCTATTTGTTTATTCGTTTATGTACGAATACAAACGACTATGGAATCCCTAATGAGCTTCATTTAATAACAAATTCTAGATATGTGGAGCGTCGAAGCACGAATGATCCGAGCTTCCCAAAATAAGAATGCATCTCATCAGCACTCAGTAACGTAAATCCTTCCCACATTTTTCTCTTCTTATGGTGAAGGGAGCGATTCTCCCTGTTAAGAACTGCTACTCATCCCTTGACGCTTAAATAGTTCAGGGTTCTTAGTGATTTAACTACTTGAGGCTTTTTAGCATCACTGTACAATGTTTGTGCTACTAGTTGACTATCTGAGTTTAGGAGATCGAAATACTTGGTTGCTAGCTGACAGAATTGTGTCTCTTGTTTTGTGGAAACTCAAATCTTTTTTGACAAGCAACTAACTTTCATTTATAGCGGTTTATCTACATGATGTATTTCAGATTTGATTGTATAGGTTTTGTCGAATAAATCAGAGGGTTGAATAGCTTAGTGATCCTATCATTTATTGTATCTTGTGTAATTCATATTTGCAATACTGGTGATCAGGACCATATCCAACTCAACGATCTTATTTGGTTGTATTTGTGGGAAAGGATGATAATCCTACGCTTCCTCAGAAGTTATACAGGACCCAAACTGCAACAATTTGGACGCCACGTTAATCACAAAATAATGTTGTCTATTCCCTTTAAAACAATTTATCATTTAAACATACAGTACTTATTTGACAATTACTAAGAGCTCACCTGATAATTCTTTCTCTGTTTGTTTAAGCAATTAGAAAATCAAATTTCAGAAAAAACTTTGAACATGAATCTAACTTTTTTAAATAAATTTCCTCTATGGAAGGCTGAATTGTCAGACAAATTCGAATTTATAGGGATTATTATTACGATATACCCTTCTAAACATCAAATGTATCATAAATTTACAAAAATTTCTAGACAATGAGATGTCATTTATTTCTCAGTAAAATTCTCGGTACTGTTTCGAAATGTTTTGTAAATGGGAATCACGTCCAAAAAGAATTCTGTTAATGTAGCTTAAACAAGACTATTTATTAATTATCGGATCATAGTAAGGATTAAATGTAAAATAATTTATTGATGATTAAGTTTTGTGTTATTACTTTATCCATCGTTATGTTGAACCATGATTATAAAGATATTCAACTTCGCACAATGAGTCTACATCGTTTGTTGATTCATTAGATTGGATGAAGTAGTAATTAGCAGATTATATACTCATTATTTTACCTTAAACATATATTTTCCAAAATTATCGTAATATTTTATCTAAGAGGTTATTTCGTTTATAAATAAAGTGTTGAATAGTAATTTAATAGAAACACTCTTGTATTTGCATGGTTGAAAGCATGAGACAATGGATGCTAGACCACCAAAGAAAACCTGGAAGGTCTAGACGGCCGTTTCGTTTTATTGTGGGACTCCTCAGCAGTGCGCATCCACGACCTCACCTCGCGAGATTCGAATCCAGAACCTATCAGTCTCGCGCGCGTGCACTTGACCGATAGACCACTGAGCCGGCATCCAATAGTGTTAAAGTCTAACTTCAACCATCATCAGTGCTATTTGAGTGTGTCTGAATTGTTGGCTGTTCAAATCAAGACTATAAATATTTAGGCAAGATATAAAGTCGGAAATGGTCAGTTTTTATCCTAATTGATATTTATATTATTTTTAAACCGTCACATTTGTTCACCTAAACTTTATTAACTGTTAAAATAACATGGTAGTTTCTTCAAGTTAAATGTAAATTAATGCAATTTAGTAGTAAAAAGAGCTTACTGTAGACTATCAGAACAGAAATATAGCAGATGATGGAGATATATTTTGAAATAAATTATAAAATAGATAGATCTACATACTAAAATAAACAAAGGCTGATTCTAGCCAGGGTTTGAGCTCCCTTTTTTTGGCCAAAAGTCAAATTCTTCATTTTAATAATTAAAAGAGGTTATATGACGTAAATTTGAAATAAATAATTCGAGTGAATCCAGTGACATCATCACTATTATCCACATGGAAGAAGATGAATTAATAGCAGGTTCTGATGTTTTCTATTTGTTCACAAGTGTTCCTCTTAAAAAAGGATTTAGATACTGTGTATATTCTGTAAGTTTCTGACACTCAGCTAAAACAACGATGTTCATTAGGTACCTCAGACATTACTAAAGCTCTGAATCTATGCTTGCATTGAACATTTCTCAGTTTTTCAGGAGAATTCTATAGAAAACACAAGGTGTAATTATGGGATAACCAGATTCCTCAATTGTTACTAACTTATTATTGCATATATATTAGAAAAAATTATAATCTCTAAGTGCCCCCTTCCACTAAAGCTCCGGTTGATCCACATAGATGAAACATTCGTCATCATAAAACGAAATGTTTAAAAACAAAAACAAATCAGTGATGACATTACACTCAACAGAGTCGGTGAATACAATCAGTTTCAATGGCACAAGAATTCTACAAACGGTTTTATTTCTTATGAAGAGAGACAAATATCCAAAGCCCTACACAAATAGACAAATCTAAACAGTATGTATGGGTGGCACGGAATACAATTAGTTGTCTCATTGCAACTAACAGTTAATTAGTAAACCTGAACTCTTCATTCCATTTAATCTATCACTTATTGTCTCAACAACAACAATTACATTCAACTATTCTAATCAGTTGGTTTATCTGAATATATGATGAACAACTAACTTGAACAATAAAATAACACAAACATAATCTCTGCTTATAACGCTTGTGACTTAAGATAATATTGAGGCAATCCACACAGGATGCACATATGCCAATAAGAGACTGATCAATTACAATGCTAAACATCAACGGGAATGTTCAAACAACCAATACAAAAATGAATTCATGTATTAAATTTTATTTTGTTTATTTATCCTCATGTTATGCATGCTGTGATATGTCTAAATCATATAATATATAATAATTGTGTGTTTTCTTCAAAAATCCACCGATCAGAGGCAATAAATAGTCAGTGAAACTTCTTCTTACACCTCAGATCCACTTATGAATATACACAATGAAGGTATACACCATACACGTCTTGTTACATACTACATGTTTCAAACATACTACAGCAAATAATTACTTTAAACATTGTTCATATGATTGGATGACCTATTTAGTATACAGTTAACTGGAAAACTGTGTACCTAGTTATATTTGATGATTTTTGTTTGATTGTATTTCCTTGAAAAACATTGGTTCAGATTGCTGAGCAAAACGTTGGACGTACTTAAAATTCAATCTCTAAGGTTTTACGAATATATTCTTGCTTGTTAATGTCTAACTCGGAGCCCAAATACTGTGAAACTATTCGCTCAAATTTATACCAAAGCTCTTAATGTAATAAGGCACCTATCGAGAATTTGAAAAGTATTGTTTTCTTGATACTAAATTCGATGTGGGTTTTATTCACAGTTAAAGTAGTCATGATCTCTCAATAATATTGATACCCCGGTTTGCTCCCGGATAGTTCGAAAAATCTATTTATTACTTATTTAGACTATGAAGCAAGTGGCTTAAAAGATTGTCGAGTGGTTATGGAAGCGTTTTGTCAAGATAGTCCTTGATAAACTAAAGTATTACTCAATGAGCGTGGTTTAAAACAAGAGTGATGCGTGTAGTATTTCAAAATGAATATGGATGAAAAATTGTATCAGAGCAATTTAACTTACGCTCTGTGATATTTTCTAAAATATAATGTTAAATCAACTTTTTTCTATTGTTCTGACGTATATAATCTATAGAAACACAAAAGATTACTCAATGTTTCAGATGTGTGGACAAACTGCTCATACATTTCGGTAAGAAACCATTTTCACCTTGAATTTCATGATAGTGGCTATTTAGAGATGAATAAAGAGTACATTTGTTGTACAGTTTAAGTTTTTCATGAGAGTTCAAAAAACTTGATGAAAAATTGTATCAGAGCAATTTAACTTACGCTCTGTGATATTTTCTAAAATATAATGTTAAATCAACTTTTTTCTATTGTTCTGACGTATATAATCTATAGAAACACAAAAGATTCCTCAATGTTTCAGATGTGTGGACAAACTGCTCATACATTTCGGTAAGAAACCATTTTCACCTTGAATTTCATGATAGTGGCTATTTAGAGATGAATAAAGAGTACATTTGTTGTACAGTTTAAGTTTTTCATGAGAGTTCAAAAAACTTGATGAAAAATTGTATCAGAGCAATTTAACTTACGCTCTGTGATATTTTCTAAAATATAATGTTAAATCAACTTTTTTCTATTGTTCTGACGTATATAATCTATAGAAACACAAAAGATTCCTCAATGTTTCAGATGTGTGGACAAACTGCTCATACATTTCGGTAAGAAACCATTTTCACCTTGAATTTCATGATAGTGGCTATTTAGAGATGAATAAAGAGTACATTTGTTGTACAGTTTAAGTTTTTCATGAGAGTTCAAAAAACTTGATGAAAAATTGTATCAGAGCAATTTAACTTACGCTCTGTGATATTTTCTAAAATATAATGTTAAATCAACTTTTTTCTATTGTTCTGACGTATATAATCTATAGAAACACAAAAGATTCCTCAATGTTTCAGATGTGTGGACAAACTGCTCATACATTTCGGTAAGAAACCATTTTCACCTTGAATTTCATGATAGTGGCTATTTAGAGATGAATAAAGAGTACATTTGTTGTACAGTTTAAGTTTTTCATGAGAGTTCAAAAAACTTGATGAAAAATTGTATCAGAGCAATTTAACTTACGCTCTGTGATATTTTCTAAAATATAATGTTAAATCAACTTTTTTCTATTGTTCTGACGTATATAATCTATAGAAACACAAAAGATTCCTCAATGTTTCAGATGTGTGGACAAACTGCTCATACATTTCGGTAAGAAACCATTTTCACCTTGAATTTCATGATAGTGGCTATTTAGAGATGAATAAAGAGTACATTTGTTGTACAGTTTAAGTTTTTCATGAGAGTTCAAAAAACTTGATGAAAAATTGTATCAGAGCAATTTAACTTACGCTCTGTGATATTTTCTAAAATATAATGTTAAATCAACTTTTTTCTATTGTTCTGACGTATATAATCTATAGAAACACAAAAGATTACTCAATGTTTCAGATGTGTGGACAAACTGCTCATACATTTCGGTAAGAAACCATTTTCACCTTGAATTTCATGATAGTGGCTATTTAGAGATGAATAAAGAGTACATTTGTTGTACAGTTTAAGTTTTTCATGAGAGTTCAAAAAACTTGATGAAAAATTGTATCAGAGCAATTTAACTTACGCTCTGTGATATTTTCTAAAATATAATGTTAAATCAACTTTTTTCTATTGTTCTGACGTATAGAATCTATAGAAACACAAAAGATTCCTCAATGTTTCAGATGTGTGGACAAACTGCTCATACATTTCGGTAAGAAACCATTTTCACCTTGAATTTCATGATAGTGGCTATTTAGAGATGAATAAAGAGTACATTTGTTGTACAGTTTAAGTTTTTCATGAGAGTTCAAAAAACTTGATGAAAAATTGTATCAGAGCAATTTAACTTACGCTCTGTGATATTTTCTAAAATATAATGTTAAATCAACTTTTTTCTATTGTTCTGACGTATATAATCTATAGAAACACAAAAGATTCCTCAATGTTTCAGATGTGTGGACAAACTGCTCATACATTTCGGTAAGAAACCATTTTCACCTTGAATTTCATGATAGTGGCTATTTAGAGATGAATAAAGAGTACATTTGTTGTACAGTTTAAGTTTTTCATGAGAGTTCAAAAAACTTGATGAAAAATTGTATCAGAGCAATTTAACTTACGCTCTGTGATATTTTCTAAAATATAATGTTAAATCAACTTTTTTCTATTGTTCTGACGTATATAATCTATAGAAACACAAAAGATTCCTCAATGTTTCAGATGTGTGGACAAACTGCTCATACATTTCGGTAAGAAACCATTTTCACCTTGAATTTCATGATAGTGGCTATTTAGAGATGAATAAAGAGTACATTTGTTGTACAGTTTAAGTTTTTCATGAGAGTTCAAAAAACTTGATGAAAAATTGTATCAGAGCAATTTAACTTACGCTCTGTGATATTTTCTAAAATATAATGTTAAATCAACTTTTTTCTATTGTTCTGACGTATATAATCTATAGAAACACAAAAGATTCCTCAATGTTTCAGATGTGTGGACAAACTGCTCATACATTTCGGTAAGAAACCATTTTCACCTTGAATTTCATGATAGTGGCTATTTAGAGATGAATAAAGAGTACATTTGTTGTACAGTTTAAGTTTTTCATGAGAGTTCAAAAAACTTGATGAAAAATTGTATCAGAGCAATTTAACTTACGCTCTGTGATATTTTCTAAAATATAATGTTAAATCAACTTTTTTCTATTGTTCTGACGTATATAATCTATAGAAACACAAAAGATTCCTCAATGTTTCAGATGTGTGGACAAACTGCTCATACATTTCGGTAAGAAACCATTTTCACCTTGAATTTCATGATAGTGGCTATTTAGAGATGAATAAAGAGTACATTTGTTGTACAGTTTAAGTTTTTCATGAGAGTTCAAAAAACTTGATGAAAAATTGTATCAGAGCAATTTAACTTACGCTCTGTGATATTTTCTAAAATATAATGTTAAATCAACTTTTTTCTATTGTTCTGACGTATATAATCTATAGAAACACAAAAGATTACTCAATGTTTCAGATGTGTGGACAAACTGCTCATACATTTCGGTAAGAAACCATTTTCACCTTGAATTTCATGATAGTGGCTATTTAGAGATGAATAAAGAGTACATTTGTTGTACAGTTTAAGTTTTTCATGAGAGTTCAAAAAACTTGAGTTAACTGGTGTATGTTAGAACAGTAAAAAGCGCTAGATCATATTTCAATTCAGTGTGAGATATTCTTTGGTATAACAGTCGTTTTAATTTACTGGGATATTTATTCAGTATGCCAATCTCTTAACATAAGTTTACTGTATTATTCCTGCACCATAACATTCAGTAGTCTTTTATGTTGATTCAGAGAAAAATTAGTTTTCTACTGCCATCATTTCAGCTATGTAATGCATTGATGACTGATCACCGTAAGAATCTATGTAGAAAAGTTGCAATATTTTCGGAATGTGAGTAAAACCTTTAATTTTCTTCAGTTTTTCACTCTCCCCTAGTCTTATAAATGTCAGATTTTAGGTTTCAAGTAATAATAAACAGGACATCACCCAAAGTTCTTTACACTACAGGGTATCAAGATAGAATGAAATGAAAACAAACCAACAGTGGATAACTAAACAATTGTATCAAAATAGGAAGTTTCCACCAGAACTATGCAGTATCAATGCTTGACCTTCGCAGTTCCGGACCACGATCGACATTTGGAACTGTAAGACAGAGCAGTTACAGTCATGTATACAGTGAAAGGAGACGACTCATATGGACAAGACATACTTGTCACATAGAAAGTCGGTAGTGCAAGTATGATAGCAATAACTAAAGGTTGGAGACTTTGCCGGGGGAATAATTAACGGAAGACATGAGGAACAAATTGTAAAACTAACCGTAACTTGGGTGTCGATCGCACAGCCACTTCAAGAGATTCTAATTTTATGAGGAGGGACAACTAACTTCTCAGTTGACCCCTTACAAAAACCTACCAACATTTAACTAACTAAGGAGAGGAAGGTGTTAGAAATGAGTGATTATATCACTCAGTAAATTGATTACGTTGGTTGATTTTAGAAGTATAATTTTATTATGTGAACTGAGTTTATACTTTATTTTGTCAAGTAATTAATGTATAGTACTAATCAATCAAATTTATCTAAACTTGACTGTTGATCAGTATAATTGAATATTCAAAGATCAGTATCGTCAGATATGATTTTGATTCATTTTCAGTGCATAATAATTCTTCATGTATAATAATTGCCTTCTTCCTTGTGTTGACTATATTACCGTTTTATTCGATTGTAATATTATTCAACATAATTATAAACAATGGATGTAAACTTTAGACTATCTTGAAGGGAAGAAGACATTAATAATAATAATAATAATAATAATAATAATAATAATAATAATAATAATAATAATAATAAATTATAAGTAGCTTTTCACTTACTTTGAACTGTATCGAATGCTAAACAAAATGACGTCGCTGATTAAGTTATTCATTCAGTAGACTTAATTACCGCATTTTATAACCCGCAATTGATTTTTTAAAACAACTTTGCGACTCTAATTAATTTATAGTTCTGTAAAACTTATTTGAGTTACTTCTTTCAGTAAATTTTAATGACGGATATCTTATTTTCCAGGTTGTAATTATCATGTGAAAATTGAGAAATAAACAAGATTGATGGGGAAACGTTTACACAGAAGTAAAAAGTAAAGACATGTTTAGACTGATTATGAATTAGTTACTTGTCCTCCAGTATCTCAAAAGAAACCTAGTCAGTGAATTTTTAATTCAGAACTTATACACGACACTGAACAACATGTAATTCAGTAAAGCTATAAACAACACTTCTCACTGTTCTTTTTGTAACGATGAGACTAAGAGATTAAGTATCAAGACTACTCGCTTCGTTTAAAATGTATTAGTGTGAATGCTCCTGTGAAGCAAGTTACATTGTCTAATATTTTCAGGACATGCAAATACATCAACTTTAAAATTCTATTGTGTGTGTATTTTTTTAATGAATAATTACGTTATTCAATACTATACTTGGCTAAAACTCTAATGCATATTTGGTTGTAAGCAGCTGATGAGAAACCACGAAATATAATGAATTCATATTATTCTGCATCAATATTTGTTCTGTCTTTATTTAAACTTGGCTGTGTGTTGGAATATTTATTGTGTTTATGATTGTGATCGACTGTGTTACATACAAAATAGAATAATCAATTTTCTGTTCAAAAATCTTCACTTAGACTAAAATATTAATTTTAGTCAACCAGAACAACAGTTTTATGGGGGAGGACAAACCAGCTAACAACTGAAGAGGAAATTAGAAAAAGACGTTGAAAGTGGATAGGATATACATTAAGGAAACCACCAATATGCATCACGAGGCAGTCCCTAACTTGGAATCTGGAAGGGAAGCGGAAAAGAGGAAGGCCAAATAACACATTACGTCGGGAAATATAAGCAGATGTGAAAAGGATGAATAATAACTGGAAATAACTGGAAAGGATTGCCCAGGACAGAGTTGGATGGAGAATGCTAGTGGGCAGTCTATGCTTTTCCACGATGGGTAACAGGCGTAAGTAAGTAAGTAAGAATAACAGTTCACAAATGCAACGCAATCAATCAAATAATTATCGTTTAATAGCTTATTAATGACAGAAACAAGGAAAAAAAATGTTATTTGGTTACTTTTGATTAGAATATTTCAAATTAAACACTTATTATCTAGATGTGATTTTGATTTTAATATAGTCATGTTTATTATCAATTCAAACATATTTTTTTATTGCATGGTAATGTGAGCATTATAACTTACCTTTTATTGATTCATTAAGTAGGCAAATCAATATTATGGTTCCAAACGCATATCCCATAGTTAATTACTGATCTTTCACTCGAACAAATACTAGTGATAATAATAATATTAATAGTAATCTATGTTATACTCGTTTTTATATTCTGTTTGGAAAACTGAAATGTTATGATAAAAACATACAAAAAAACGTATCAAATTCTTCCATATAATTTTCTTTGTTTATTTACTTTGTTTAAACAAGTTGATAATATCATACATATCCAATCGGTAAATACGTCGGTCTGCAAAAGCATTTTTTATTGTGCATCATAACAAATCTGTTATAGTTAAGAAGAAATGGAGATTCTGAACATTACTTTTATTTTATTATTAGATTCTATCACTATTAATTTACATCAAAGTAAAGTGACTTTTCATAGTTAACTTAGCAGTTGTTTTAATGAAACATAGTAACTGATAAAATTATACCACTTAATGTTACTTATGGTATTTCATCATTGTTTACTAAAACAATTTGAACTCATCTTGTGAACGGACATATATTACACTTTATGTTATAAATAATAATAACCTTATTTATTGTATTTAAAAACGTTTTCAGTAATTATATTACATTGACATTGACAGTTAACTGGAAAAACAAACTTAACACTTCTCAAATCATTTTAGATCTTCATCCTTTTTATTCCTCACTATTTTTATGCTTACAATTTACTTACTTATTCATATATATCCATATGCACATCATTCAGCGGCAGAAGGCCGATTGTTGCTTGGATCAATCATGTCTTTCTCGAACAGCAGAACATGCAGAGAGTGTGGGGACATCACTGGGGGATTTCGCCAAAATTGAAGTTACTCTTCTCAGTACATCAAAATAAACTATATCTGAGCCAGGAGAAGTGTCCTTGTTTAGATAGTGCCATTTCTGATACACCAGATTATCCCTCAGATCCACCGATAGAGGTGAAGCTGTAGCCGATACAGTTCGTATATAACAGCTGAAATGTTCAAATAGTGAGATTCTTTATAAATATATATCTCTTATAGTCTTTAATGAGCGTTTGTGGGACGAACTGTTGTGTGGTACAAAAGATCATGTGCAGTAAGAAATTTAAATGAGCGTCCGCATCAAGCTGAAAGTGGTTTTCCCGGTTCACACGCAGTAAATTGTCCTGAAGAGCTGACACATTCAAAGGTTTGTAATTCCAGGGCTTGTTGTTAGTAGGATGTTTTAGCTCAGTTTTCGTCAAGATTGACAAACTCTTCTGTGTTCAATACATGTGCTCCCAAACACAGGAAATTCACTAATAAGAATGGCTAAACATTTAAAGTCCCTATAATCTCACTTGCAAAGTACGAAGTACAGGTGCTAGAATATTTAACGTATTTTCAGGGGAGTGGTATGCATCAATGCAGCGAACAAAGAATGGGAGTGATTATACCATTAGATATTGGTGGTCAGATTACTAAAGCAGTGATTAAGTGTCTCGATAAAACCGTCACCGTCTCAAGTATTCTTGATGTGGCTTCCCTGACTGATGCGAAATCGGGGATAGTGCTGAAACAATTGAGAGAAAGAGAAACAGCCATAGACAATGCTTGAAATACTCGCTCTCTGAGTCAATGAATACTCTTCTGAAGTCCCAAAGTAAGACAGTACTTAACCGTAGTGTTGCTGAACAACGTTTATTCTCAGTCAATGTTATTGTAAGTAATTTGCATGAACTTAAAGACTCCGACTCAAAAATAGATCAAGCAAAGCCTTCAGTAGTTAGCAGGCAAAAAATGACATAATTATTGGGGGCCGTGAACACCACTTTTAAAGACGAAATATCCGTTTCTAGTCTAATTATTCGTAATCTGAAGAGGGTAAAAATGTATACAGACGGTCGGGAGTCAGTGGAATCCACCATCAGGAATGTACTAGCAGAATAAGTTTCTGGAGTATGTATCACTAAATTAGTAAGACTGAGTGAGTTTATAGGAGAGACCCAATCAAAAAGAAACTTGGAGCTAGTTTTCAAAACTAAAACGAAAGGATCGTTATAACGCAATTCGAAATACATGAAATGGGCGCTTTTCGAATGGGAAATTAAGTCCTAGCGTGATTTGCATTTCTCAAACTTTTGCTGCGTTCTTACGCAACAAAAGTACCACTTCCGATCTAAAGAATCTATTCTGAGCTATACGTTCGGTAGATTACTTTTTTCACTTTCATTCAACTTAATAGTTTACTGTGGTCTTGCCTTAGCTCATTATCGGTTTTTTTAGTTTTCACGTAAAGGCTAGTTTTAGGCTTATCGTAACCCGTTTTTGTGTACTGTGTTTCTTGTAACGGTCCTAGACTTACTGCTTGTATTTATATGACAGTCTATATCATTAGTCATGAGACATTCATGCAAAAGACCTGGTTGTCGTTTCGCTGTTACATCTGGCCTGCAATGTGACAACTACAAAGCTTGGTTTCACGAAGCCTGCAAAGATCTAACAGCAACAGCCTATAGCAGACTCGGCAAGTCTGATCGTAGGTGAGTTTGTTACGTGCAACACTGATACTGTAGTTTTGTTGGGCACCACCGTTATTTTACTAGCAGGATTGAGGAACAAGTTGTCTAAAAACTTGTTAAATGACAGTAAAACGACAGGTAGCAAAACAGGAACGCACAGTGCAAAGAAGAAAAGGGATATCGACGGGTCGACTATCGACGGTGCAGGTAAAAGCATGAGTGATGACGTGCTGAAACGCAGCACCATCTTAACATCTGCGGTGATCGACTCCCTTAGTAAAATTGGGTCTCCCAGGGAAGAGTTCCCAAAATCCCTTTAGGTTGTTGGACCCACGTTAACAGGGGAAAAAAGAACCAAGCGTCACCGCACAAGCTGAGCATCCCAAGTACTGTGCGGAAATCAATTGGTGACTTGACCACACAGTCTACGCCCAAGACTGTCCGCCTGATCATCGCCGATCCCAGGAATCGGAGACGCGCTTCGACATCCAAACAACGAGGTACCGAACCTAGACGCCCTGGAAAACTTGGGAAATCAATAACAGTTCGTGACGACTTTGTCATAATCATGAACCTTATTGACAACTCTGACCTACCTCTCAGCATGCAGGACAAAAATGATGGGGTGTTCTGGGGAGAATTGAACAAGAAGCTTGAACTCTCTAGAATAGAGCCCTTGACCATCACACGGCTCACTCGAGGGAAGGACTCTAACCACCGAAACCACACGAGGTTATTTCGTGTAACACTTAAGAATGCTTCCGACGTGGAGGACGTCCTGCTAACGAGTCACTTACTGAAATCCAATGGAAACGTAAAAATGCCGCCCGACATACCGTATTCTGAGCGAAATCTCATCCGGAACATCCCCAAAGAATCTCGCGAGGCGTTTTTCCGCGGAAGAAATATCACTGTGCAAGGTGTACTGGAGAATATGAACTCAGCTCAAGCAAACTCTGATATTCGAGAATGAAAATTCATTAGGCATTCCTTAAAACTCAGAAACATACTGATCCAACAGGTGACGCGACTAGCCTAGGAAGACGGTGACTATGGACCCCGGCTATTGAAGCTAATTTTCCCCTCCACCCATGTGGCGGCTGCAACTCTGGAAGCATATCGTGCCAATAGACGTCGGTTGCCAACTGGCATCCATATGCATCCGGATAGGCCCCGCGACAGCAGGATCAAGCACAAACGAAAGCTGGAGGTGACAATTCCGCTCGTGGACTGTCTTGATCATAAAAAAAACGTGTGAAGGACATGGACTACCGACTCGGCAAACATTGTATAGGTAGGCTACTTGTCCGCTCACGCAAGGCTCATATAGACACACAGGAAGAAGCTTAGGCGTCCCAAATTGAAAGCATAAACTGCTTATACATGAAGGCCGCGAGTTCACCAAACAAAATGGATGAGCTACGTGAACTTATCCACGCTAATGATGCTCATCTGATGGGGATATCTGAAACTTGGATATCGTCTCAGTTTACGGACCAGGAGTTAGCAGTACCTGGAATGTCTTTATTTCGCAACGACAGGAAAATTGGAATGGGGGGTGGGGTAGCATTATACATACGATCGTGCCTGGAGGCGCACTAACTTCACAACCAAGAGTTCCTCAATCTTGATGAGTCAGTGTGGTGCTCAGTAAGATTATCTACCACCTCGAGGTGTCTAGTCAGGGTCATCTACAGGAAACCCACTGCTGACATCGAGTACGACAATCGTTTGCTGGAAGGATTAACTCGCTCGCGTCTCGGATTCTCTCATATCCTGATTCTAGGGGACTTCGATCTTCCTAGAATCAACTTCGCAGAACATACCTACATTGGAGGTGACGACTCTAAGCTCGGTTCTTCAACCTCATTGATGATCTGGGATTATTCGCAAATGTGAAGTCGAAAACTCGTTGGAGAAACAGTCAGACGCCGTCGTGCTTAGATTGAGTGTTCGCAAAAGAAGAATTCCTAGTCGACGACCTCTCAATCCTGGCTCCCCTTATGTGCTACCGAACATTCAGTTCCTCAAATGGTCCTAAAAAGCTACAAACAACCTCCAATCATCAAGAACCGCACTCGTCGTTTGCTAAGCCGCAACAGGCACTGTTGGGCCGAATATAAACGAACCGACGCATACAGGCAATACAAACATATAAGGAACATACGTTCAAAGGCAATAAGAGAAGACAGACTTCAGTACCAGATCAAGCTTATCGATAAATTCGTCTCCAATCCGAAAAGTTTATTCGGTTACGCAGCTTCTCTTCGACGAGGCAAAACTGGAGTTTCCCAACTGCTAGGTCCTAATGGCTCGACCAATAACGACTGTGATGCCGCTAAACTTTTGGTTGAACAATACTCTCAGATATTCCAGCCGACCCACATCAACTATACTGACGAAAGCTCCACCTGCACCTGTACAGGACCTTCCGAAGTGGACCTGAGTACTTACCTGGTGCTCCGTAAACTGCAGCACCTAAGAAAAGACACTTCTCCCGGTCCGGATATGGTTCATTCTACTGTATCGAGGGAAGCAGCTTCAATCC